TTTATATATATATATACACACTCATTTTTGTGGAACCATTATCCCCTAGATAAATTGTTCTCTTCCCTTCATGGTGCTTGTCTCATCTGTATTTATAGATAGAATTTGTACCTCTTCTTCGCTTTGTTTTGCTAGACTGACTAAATGAAATATTTTAGTCTCCAGTCAGGTGATCACCCTCCCAGCCTTTCTTTACAGCTGCTCCAATTTGAAATTTCTTGTGTGTGTGTTTTTAACTGTTATAATGAGAATTATGTATAACATTCCAGATGTGGTATCACCGGGGTATTGTACAATGGCACTGTCTCTTTCTCTTTCTGTTCCAATTAGTATGTTCCAGAATTGCATCTGTCCTCTTCACAGCTGTCTCGCCTTGATGAACCTGGCTGTTAGGCAGCTCTAGTTTGGAATAACTGTTACACAGGTTGTTTGGTACAATCTCTTTATTAAACTTGAACTATAACCCATTTTTCCGTTAACAATGTTATCTAATACTCCTTTCATTTTTTGTATGCTATTTTTGTATAAATTTTTGCATGTTATTAAGATTGTATATATTCATCTGTGCCTTCCCTCTTGTAAAAAACATTGGCAATATAGTTGCTATTCCCCAGTCATTACAGAAGTGATATTTTCTTTAAAGTTTTTACGTTAGAAAGGATAATCTTATGTGTCACTGTTTCCATAATTCTGAGAAATGGATTATTTTTGACTGCATTAACTTCAATAATTTTTAAAGTGTTCCTATTCTCCATTTGTGATTGTTTTCATATCTGAGACAACATAGATAAGGATTATAGTGGAGGTTGGGGGTTCATTCCTGAGTATCCTTAATGTTCATCCCGTTGTCCCTGTTTAGTATACACATTTTTTTCCCTACTTAGGTACAAAAAAGCCTTTAAAGACTGTAATTTTTTTGTGTAATAACTGTTCAGGTATAGCTTAGCTTTACTTTTTACTATATACCTAAGATGCAGCTTTCTGTGCTGATTTTTCTTTCTCTTCTCTCCCCTCTCTGTCTCCTGCTATTCTTGATGGGATTTCTGCGTGTTTCTGATGTCTTACTTGCACAACGCTATCAATGATTGGCTTGTCAAACATCGCATTTTACCCCTTCAACTTGAGACGCGGATCCTTAAACATTTAAGCATTTTTGTATTAAATGCCAGGCTTCTGCTGTATCTCAGATGTCTTTGCTAACCTTCGCTATCAAATTATTTGGGTGTATGCTGCTGAAATTCAAAGACCTAGTTATAAACCCATTTGGGATTTTTCATTCTTTATTTAAATAAAAATCCAGTAATATATGGATCAGGCTACGAGCAGCTGTTTTATAATGTCCTCATTGAGAACATCTTGAAGTAATGGAGTCATTTGCTGCTTCAGTAGCTATTTCATAAATTTGTCATCTATTAGCTCCAAGAATAACTAAGCCCTTCTACTTAAGAGTTTGATTTGTTCTCCATTTTGTGTCTGGGTAATTAGTCTCCTAAAGTGATACAATTCACTTTATTTTTATCTAACGTTAAAGATCTGCATCCATATCAAACACTGATGCTGGAACAAATGCCCCATTAGTCTAATCCTACCCCAAAGGATTTGACCCAAACAGATTTCTGTTCTTGTTATCTGTTATATTTATTCCAGTTTGACAGGTCGCGGACACACGTTGTTCTACTCTTCATTTCTATTTTGAATATTGTCTGTTCCTCAGTACTTGCATTCTTAGTCATGAGTGCTGTCCCACCATGCTGTGGTTACTCTGTCATGTTTTGTTCCGTACCGTGTGCCAGTAATTTAAACTTCTCTCACAAACTGACACAACATAAAATGTATAGCTTGATTTTCATCATTCTATTTCTTGGTAGTTTTTATCCATTCTTCACCTTCTTAACAGTGTATTAAAAACTGGTGTGAAAATGTCCCTGTGAAGTTTAAAATTCTCTGTGTCAGTAATGCAGGCTGTATTCCAGAAGACTTGTTTCCACAGATGCTTGAAGCTGACCTTTCTGAAAATCCTTTTTCAGATGATCTATCTCATGGTTTCTAAAATCTTCCTGGTAATACTTGTCCCTGAGCTGCTTGTTTATCTTGTTATGAACTCGTACCTCCAGCCATATTTCAGAGGAATTTGGAAGAATTAAGTTAAATTGGGAGACCTGTTTGTCACATGGTGTTCCTCCTGCCCGTTGCCTCCTTCCTCTTTCTCCCCTTCCTTCCCCCATTTGTTAAGTAAACATTTAGTTGGCAGGTTTTCATTCTGTTATTAACATCCCATTTCAGTTTTCTGAAGTGTCTTAGTTATTTTGTGATTTACAGTCAAAATATTTCTTGGACCCAGGGAAACTGCTCTATGTGGCTTGATAAATGCAACCTTTTCTATTTAAAAGATTATTTTTGGTTTAGTGTGGATAATACCACACCAGTGTGCTTTTTTTCCCCATTAGATATAATTGTGTAGCCTTTCTTTATTAGAATTATGAATATTTTTCCGTCATACTTTGTTTATTGTTTGTATTTTGGGAAACATGCAACCGTCCAGTCCCCATGATTGCCGTAATGTATAAGAAACAGGGATGATGTTGCATGTGTACCAAGTGCATCCAAAAGCATCAAACTCTGATGTGTTGCAATAATTCTTACAAGTATATTTGTCTTCTGCTATCTTGCCCTTGAACCCTGCACTAGTAATCCAGGTTCTTACATTTTTGTTGCACAGACTCCTGCTATTTTGTACACATGTTTAAGTCATTTCTTAATAATCAAATCCCCTCCCTTTCTATCTCCTGCTCAATTTTTCTTTTAGCTCTTGCATGCTGAATCTTAGTGATTTACTGACCCTGTGCCTTCTCTCTGCTACAGAATTCCTGAAAGTCTTAAATGCTTGAAGGCTGTTAATGTAAATGCAGTCTGTTAACTGTACATAATAAGGTATATATTACAATTATCTTCTTTCTAGAATGGATTGTAAATTCAGTGCTTCTGAATTTATTATGTTCCATAACTTTTGTAAAGTGCTTTATGATCACAAATTTTAAAAAATTGAACTTCCATAGGCTCTTCAAACTGTAAAAAGTACTCTCTTCTTTTCACGTACAGAGAAACAGGAAAGGATTGTATGAGGTAGATTCCTGTGATTTTGGGTTTGGGTTTTGATGCCTACGTCTTGTTGTTTGTGTGGGGTGTGTGTGCATGTTAAGGATAGAATAGATGTAGTAGTGTCAGGGGAGGAGGATGTTATTTGTCATTTTTCCTTCTCTCTTGAGTAAAATGATGGACAGACCTGGACGTTTTTATTTCCAGTGATATAGTCTGGAATATCTAGAAAGGACCACTCTGCCAAATGAAATATGACTTTAAATTATTTATATGATTCCCTGTATACTCAAATCTGATTTACTGATAGGAAGAAAGCTAAACTAGTGTAACTGATTACTCTGTTTTGCATTCCTACAAGACATCAGGTGAGATTCCATATGACCTTATTTACCTTGCTTATCCACAGGTGCTCATTGTCTTAGAGTAACTCAGGGACCTGCCTTTCATTTCCTCCTCAGTCCCACCAACACACACGTGGTACATATAAGGTAGTGTGATTCATTTTTAGACTTACATGCTGGGTAGTTTCTGTAAAGGATGTTCAGTGCAACACTAAAGCTTTAGCTACTGTAACTTGCTGAGGCACTTGATGTCATTTCTTATTCTTGAGAAAACACTCTGGCAATTTGCAGTTACTATTAGCAGCCTCAAAGTTTGTATCTGGGATAAGAAAGTTCTGAGCTTTCACACATGCCCACCCTCTACACCCTTCTCAGTCTTCCCACGCAAACCATATGACCACTCATACAAATTTTTCACTTAGGATGATTAAGGTTGCACTGGAATAAAATGCCGAAGTACACCTGGATTTAAAAACAGAAAGTAGGCTTACAGTTTTATATGCATCCTCTACTCCTGATTTGTGCTCTTTAATCTTGCAATTTACTAAAAATTGCTTTATATTAGTGTTTTTCCAGTGTATTACCTGTTCCCAGATGCTGAGACTCCTATAAATGTACATACCAATTGACTAGCTCCTTTATTGTCACATTGCATCTATATTCTTTAATTATCCAGGAAGGTGTCTAAGCTAATCTCTGGGGAGAACCTTCTATTGATACATGGAATGTAATAGCAATATGCAGGCGTCAACATGCACTTTATTTGTCTTGCTGCCATTAGAAACATCGACTTTGAAATCAGAATTAATTTATAGTGAATTCTGGCAAACATGTTTGCTTCCATTATGAATAGTTTGCTGCATATTTGATGCATGATGTGCTTCCTTCAGGTTTTGAACTTGTAAATGTTCAAAATGTTCAAAATTCAAGTCAAATACCAATTCTAGTGCCTGCTGATGGCAACATAGAGTGGAGCTACATTTTCTTGTTGACCTTACCAATGCTGACTACCTCCCATGAATCTATGTGGTCTAGTGGTATCTTTTTCAGTATAACCTCTTCCATTTCCTATAATAAAAGTTGATATTGTAGGGAAGTAACTTTCATCAGTACTGAGTTGTTTTCTTTTGAGTTATATGTTAGATAACTATTATCTGAGCCAGTTAATGGAAAATACTTTCCTTTCTCATAAAAGTAGCAAAGATTTTCTTCAGTGAAGACGTCTCTTTTCTCTTCAACGTATGCAGTACTGTTTTTAGTGGTCCTGCTAATTTCACTAAGCTATATTGTCTTGCTTAACTTTTAAAAAAAATTTTTAAAATCCTGTCAGCTATTGTTTCTGTCCAGTTGAAAAGGCCATCTTGTAAAAAGAACTGTTACTTTGATGATGTTAGGTATTTGACTATATTGTAATTACTTCATGAAACAATTATTTAAATTAACACTGTCTTTGAAGTTATGTTTTCTCCAGTTTGGTATGATGTTGGCTATCTTTAAAAATGTTTTCCTGAATTGGAATCTCTTTTCTTTCTCTTTTAATTTTCTTTCCCTTTTCACTAGATTACTGTTTACAAAAGTCAAATTGGAGTCCCTGTGCAGAGGCCCAGATGAAGCACTCCTCACCTGTAAACACATGCTCCAGATTTGGAAATCCTGCTACAATCTCACTAACCCCAGGTAAGATGCTTGGGTTCTAAGCATTCTAGGCTGCTCGATACCTTGCTCAATAGCCTTTCAGGGCAATATTAGGTCAGCAGTCCTGCTTTTACTTGGTCTGGTATTTCATATGAACAAACTAATCCTCTGGGAATCTAGAGACTGAAGTGCAAAGGTACCAGTTGATGGACATGCAGAAACTACCCAGAGTTCTGTGAAGTAAGGTATGCCAAAGCTACTAAACTCTGCAATGCTACTAAACTCTGATTACAGAGACTGGGTAACTCTGCTATTCTCCTTGATGGGGCTCAACGTACTGGTATTGTCTTGATTTTTTCCCTGATCTGGGTTATAGAGCCTTTTATATTGGCTAGTTGGAGAATTGCTGTAGTGGAAATTTAGTTCAAGGACTTTCACTAAATAAAATGAAGGAGGACTAGATGTTAATTAAGACTATAGAGACATCAGAGGTCACATGGATAAATATGATGTGCTTGAAAAGTCAGCATGGCTTTTTTTAAAGGGGGGTCTTGCTTATAAACCTATTTAAGTTCTTCAAAGGCATTAGCAAGTATTTGGATGAGTTGATATAGTCCTATCTGGGTTTTCAAAATGCTTCTGTGAAGGTCCTTTGCCATATATATTTAGATAAACTGTGAAATAAACAGGAAGGCCACTTTGCAGAAATCCATGCTGGTACTATTCAACACGTTTATCAAGTACCTGGAGAAGAGGACAAGCAGAATTTCCTGCTATCTGGTTGTCTGAAGGGTTGACAGTTTCTGGAGAATAGATGCTGCAGCAGAAGAGCTTTGTACCAGGTGGCATCGGATACCTGTATAGCAGTATGATGAACATTATCTGTTCAGTTTTTGCTGTTACTTTGTTTGATCTTAGTTATGTAAACACATGCATCTCTTTAAGAAGATTGAGAGAGTTGGTCTAATGGCCAAAGAGGGAAAGTTGCTTCTCTCCTTAGCAAACTAGTGAGCAGTTCAGAGCAGGGAAGTTTGGAGGGTGTGGCAGGAAAAGCCTGGGAAGGGACCCGAGTCAGTCACAGTGCATTGAGAGAGACTCTGAAACTGCGTTGTGGAGCAGGAAGCAGGACTCGGGGATTATAGAAAGCAAGTACGTCACCAACCAGAAAGGTTTGAGCTGAATTATTTTCAGCTTGAAGTCACTGAACTAGCAGCAGGGACCTGGGAGAGAATTCCTCTTCTAACTTAGTGGGTGGTGGTTTATTTTAGTTGGCTGGTTTTGTGTGTGGGGAGGGTGGTTTAAGAGTTTATTGTCAGAATGCTGTGCTGTGCAGAATAGTTACAATTTCTATGTAAGCTTAATTTCAGCGAGGCTTTGCATGTACTCCAGCACAACTTTTCACCTTCCATCTCTGATGTTACATCCTCTACAGAGATCAGGCCTCTAATCATGGCTTGTCATTACTTTGTTGTTGTTGTTGTTGTTGTTGTTGTGCTAAAAGCTACTGTGCCATGTTAAATACATGTTAAGTGTGGCTTCCTTCAGACATCAGCAGTGACTGTGAAAACTTATTCTTGGCTGTGTCAGCTTCAAACAGCAATGTTTGCTAACTCTCATGTCACTGTTCTCCCTCAAGAACATCTATGTGGAAAAATTAGCGAGGACTACTTTGCATCTGATAGTTTTTACTGCTTTTTTATCTTGACATTTAAAGCTTTTCTTGAAGTTCTGGTTTATGGTAACAAATCAAAATCAAATTAGGAATGGAATAGACAGGAGCTGTGGATAAGTGTCATGATGGAAGGAGACAGGTTTCACAAATCACACACTCAGAGTAATATCAAACAGTGAATACGGATACCACGCTGTAACCTTTCTTTGGACAGTCCGTGTGAAATTTAAGGGCTGGATACCTTCATATTGTATCACGGTGATCCAGATCTGTCTGACTGGGATAACAATTATCACTCAGACATGAAATGTGACTGGGAAGTTCTATTGACCCAACTGCACTCCAGATGTGGTGAAGAATGATGATGCAGGATTGTTGTGAAAACTTAAATTTTCCAACCCCTGTAATTTTAATACACACTTGATTTTGTTGAAAAGCACTGTTTGAAAATTGTGTTTCCCACTGGAAATAATTGAAGCTTTATTTTAATAGTTCTTTAAGCCAATAATAAAAGGTCTTTTAATTATGTGAAACCTTTTTAGAATGTTGTTTTTCAAAGATTTAAATATCCTTTATGTTTGTTTGAAACATCTTTTTCTATTCTGATTTAGACTGAAAACTAATTTTGATGTATCATTTTAAGATAAGAACTCGCTTTTTTGATAAGCTGTTTTTCTTGTTAAATATTTCTTCTTGCAATTAATCAGATTTTATGGAGTAAAGTTGGGTCAATGTCCTCAATAATGTTTTAATAATGCAAATAAATTATGTATAACTAGATATACCACACAAAGTAAGGGCTAAATGCAACACTGTGCCTTGCCTTTGTTCAGCTGATTTAGAACAATTTTCTTTTGTCTTTAATTGGCATACAAACATTTTCCTCATTAGATGGTTAATATGAATTTAAAATTTATTTTGTGGTGCAAGGCTTGGAAGGTTTAAATGTTTATCTTCAGCCTGCTGCTTCAAGTTTATTAGAAAATAGTTCAATTCTTTTGCAGTTCTTAGTTTGCATTAGGAAAACAGAACAAACCACAATGCCAGTGATGTGCTTAGAAGATACTTATGCTAAGCCTGGCTCTCCTTGTCAGCAACATTTGGCATGTTATTGCTTGTGGATTGAGGAAGTAATTAATACAGCAGCTACCAGAAAATATGCACCAACTGATGTAACAACTATAGCTGATAGTGTGTGTCACAGAAAGTTCCCTTCTGTTTCCTGTGGATTTCTATAATGGCATTTTGTAAGGAAACAATTCATGCAATAATGTTAGGGTAATGTGAAATTTTTTTTATACCATTTTAGTAGCAGCTTTGCTGTTACTAAAGTTAGTAACAGTTTCACTGATTTTTGAAGTGTGCAACTATAAAGAGTTGCTGAAACGCTTCTTGCTCTTCTCTCAGTTCAAATTCGGAAGGAGGGGATTTTAAAATTAAGGCAAATGGAAAGATGTACTGAATTCCAGTCCTGCCGTTCAGATTAAAGTCTCTCAGGCTTTACTTTAAGCTAGGAATTTTGTGGAGTTTTTGTCTCTTCAGTGAGAATCAGACAAACGTTTGCACTCTGCTAAGTTGGGCTAACAGCCCAATTGCTTTAAAGCTTAATTATTTTTAAGTTTGTGGGATGCTTTTTTTTTTAAATGAGGTTTTTAAAAAAGTATTAATTGATAGTGAATAGTACCAGACTTACAATCCTAAAAATTAAATTACTGTATTAACCATAGAATGTTAAAGAAGGAAGTGTGCTTCCTCACACTTTTCTGTCAATGTGTCTCGATACTCGCCTCATCTTAAGGAGAAGGAGCACTTAGGTCTTCAGTCCCTGTTCTTCTGCTGAATCTTTAATAGTAGTTCTAGGAGCAGTTAGTTTTCCAGCAAGTATATCAATAAGAAGCCTGAGGGACAGATACTGAATTACAACTCAAGTAGAAATTAAGTGCATTTGTCCACAGGAGCAATCAGTGAAAACCACTGCTACTGCTTAGGCTCCTGAGATGTTGGAAGTGTTCAAAATGTTGAATTTGATCCTAATAGCACAATAGGAACATCTTTACCTAAAATTAGATGTCCTGAGATTAGTGTTTCTCTTCAGTCTGGGAAAAGTGTGGATTTTCAAACTTACATCTGCCATCTCGGCTTACTGTGAGAGCTGTACCTCATATTATATAAAAGTTTAAGGTACAATAAATCCTTTCTGTAAAGCTGTTAGCTATGAATCACATCAAAAGCCTGTATGACCTTCGTGGTTGTATTAATTATGAAAACAGAATTGCTGAAGTAAATATGGATTTAGTTTTGCTCAGCTTCTGTTTTAATGCAGTTGGCTTAATGCACTGTGAATGGTTAGTGGTGCTTAGTACTAAATCTGTTCATAGCAAGAACCTTTGTGGGAGGAGGGCAGCATGCAACTTGTATCTCAGTATATAATTTTATATTTTAATAGCTTACAATTTCTGTACTTCATTACAGTGATTCCGGACGTGGGAGCAGCCTGTTAGACAGAGCTATTGCTGATAGAAGACAGCTTAATACAATTACATTACCAGATTTCAGTGATCCTGAAACAGGTAAGAACTGCATTTGAACAATAAAATAGGTTAAATGGTCTAGCCATAGCTAGATTTTGCATTAGTTTTTTTGATTTATTTTGCAAAATGAAATCATGTTTTCATTGTTGTCATATAAGTAGAAATAGACATTGTGCAATATAAGATTTTTTTATTTATGAAGTACTTGCCAACCATGTTCTCTGTAAATTAAAATATCTATAGAACAGCTCTTGCTGAGCTTAGTGGTATTTTCTCATGCAAGGGCTAAAAATTAGAATGCTGAACTAGCCTTTTTGCCAAAGTCCTATGCTTTTCTGTCCATTTGGTATTTGCACATATTTTCTTTTTAAAAGGCAAATCAGAAAAATTTCAGAAAGCTTTTAATCTCAAAAAAACTGAAGACATCATTGCTAATTAAATTCATTAAAATGTCTAATATATTAAAATATAATTACGTTGGTGGGTTGGCTTACTGTAGACATAGTTTTGACATTATAAGCAAAATTTATTTATTACAAATAATATATATTGTGATATCTCGATATACATATTAAAAATTGTGCTGCACAGGTGCACTACATAAAAGCTAGGATTGTTACCTGTCAGTAAATATTTACAATATGTAATTTGCCTGTTTTAATATATGCCTTAAAAGTCATATAACCAAAAAGCAGGTGAGCCATGCATTCTGTCAAAATTGCAGAAGGAATTACCATGATGATGCTAGTTCCAAAAACCTTTACAGCATGTTACTTGCATTCTAAATATTGCGAGTTTTCTGTTTCCTGGGTTTTATCCCAAAACTGTAGCATGCTTTTCCTGGCACCTTTCAGATGTTAATTTCTGCTTTATCACACTTTGACACAAACAGCTTATGGGAAAGTTTGCCAGCCTATGAATTAGAATACCCTGATCCATAAATTAAGATACATTGAAATGTGTAATATATCTCTTGTTTAATATCAGAATTGTGCAGTAGAGAAAAACCCAATTTAAATATTTAACTTCTGAAAGTTAAAGTTGGATCGAATGTTCACTCAATTTTGAAATCATGTAAGTAAATAGAAAGTGTTCTGTGCTTGCTATAGTGGCAAGCAGTTTTGATTACAAAGATCAGGTCACCTGATTTCAAAGAATTGCAATATGATATGGTCTGAATATGGCATAATTTAACTTGCTGCCCTAATGTGGAATTTTCTCGTATTCGTATAATTAAAATGTGTAACATAACATTATATCATTCTATAGTGTTCATTCTATATTCTAGTCTAGCTCATTGTTTCATTTTAAGGACATAACTAGATTTTAAACATTTCATGTACTTATATAGATAGACATAGATATAGATAATTTATGCCTTCAAAAAAGTGCTTATTGCGGGGGGTATTGTGAGAGGTTTTTTGTGGTTAGTTGTGGGTTTTTGTTTGTTTTTCCCCTGGGGAATACAAAGCTCTTGACCTATGCCTTTGGGGTGTCCTATTTTGTATCTGCCACACTTGAGAGCATAGTGAATTGGTGCTTTTTAAAGACCGCGTATTCCTCAACGCTTTTAAGTGAAGATGAACCGTCATCCAAAACAGTGAGCTTTTCAAGAAGCTTGCCCCAGATTCAAATCCTGCAGCCAATATCTTGATTGGAAAACAGGATCTATACATATGTTCTGATTTTTCTAGAACAAAAAAATCTAGAACAAAAAATTTTTGTCTTTTTTTCTGAATCTCAGCTGTGTTCTTAGAGTTTATCTCTACTGTCAAGCAGGACAAGATGGGAAATTAAAAATATGGGGTCCCTTTTCGATTATTTTTCTTATAAAAGGTAATTGTGGAGGATAGTTTGGGGGTGTCTCTTTTTTTCTGTTTTTGGGGGGGTTGGGGTGGTTTTTTGTTTGGGGTTTTTTTCAGTTGTTAATTTTAGTAGAAGAAACCTTGTTGCAATACCAATACTCAAATTCTGATAAGGACTAGAGCTTTGTCATCTACTGTATCTGTACAGTAGTATATATATAAAAGCTCCATATCCAAGTTTTGTCCAAAATTCTTCATCCAGAAGATTATATAAAAATTTTGCAGAAATTATAAGCATGTCATAGCGTTTGAGTGAGAAAACTTTAAGCAGACTGTCAAAAAAACATTGCTCACAAAAGGTAGATGATAGAAACAATTGATGTTCGAGATGTTAGACCTTTATAGGCTGAAAAAGCTCGTGCAAATTCTGTGGATCCCCAGTGTTTAGAAATGCAGAAGGAATTTGACATTTAAATAAATAAACAAATGTTAAAATAGGGGTATACAGGAAAGGTATTGTGGAAAATCCTCTTAGGACAGAAATGTTTGCTCACCTCCTCTTTACACAGTATAATGCTACCATGTGTGTGCATTTATGTGTATGTATACACATGAATATTTGGAAATTTTCCCCTTCCTAACTTTGCTTGCCACCTATGATGATGATCCCCTTTGCCTGTCTAGTCTGAGTTCGGCCAATCTGAGTACTAAGAAATGAGAGCTAAAATTCAAATCTGAAGTCTTGTGTACTTGCAATTTGAATTTTAAAATCCTTTTAAAAAAAGTACATCTAGCTGTAATGGGTGTAAAACATTCTTTTTCTTAGATGTATCAATTAAGCAGAAGTTGAAATTTGGAAAAAAAAAAGTCTTAAAAAACAGTTTTATATAGAGCTTTTAGCAATCTCATAATCAGAAATGATTAAATGATTCAAGTTTAAATTTGTGTAACCTTTGAAGTATAGAAAGAGTATATTGTGAATTTCTCACAAGGCTAGACTGTTAATTCTAATGCCCTGATCAATAACGGTGGCAAATCTGCTTTAAGTTTGCCTTCTATTTCAGCTGGTTTGCCATGAGTGGCATGCACCCATATTTGTATGTATTGATGAAGGAAATAAATATGGAGAAAAAAAAGTTTTGATGAATCAATCACTGAAGTAAAATCTCACAGGGAGGCAGGCACATTTCCTATCCAAAGATAGATATGCAATATGCAAATCACTTGAAACTTATTTGGCTATTTTGGTTCAGGTAAATTGCACTCAATCTTTTTAAAAACAGATTATTCAATTTGTTGTGTATTGATTGCAGTCCATTGAGTTTATCAGAGGAAGAAACAATAGTAGCTGAGTTTTAAACTTTGGTCTTTGTTTCCCCTTAAATATATTTTACAAATTTATGCATTAGAACATAGGGAAAAAATCTTTGATTTGTTTTTTTAATCTAGTTTAGTATGGAAGGAGAGTACATATGAGTACAGGGTATTTTTTTTTACGTTGCTTTCAGAAAAAGTGATACTTATTTTATGTAGAAGCCATTTCCATCTTACTGAATGGTGAAATAAATGCTTTGCATTTTTTGGCATCCATGAGTCCATTAAACCCTGTTCTTGGATCTTTTTTCTTTCCCGCCCTCCCCCCCCCCCCCTTATCACTCTCTTTGTTTCACTTTTTAGCCTCTGATACTTCCTCATCTTCTCTCTCAAGAACAGAGTCTCCTCTCCAACTGTTTGTATCTTCTCATCTTCCTCATCCTCATCCTAAACCAGATACCTTTGTCTGGCCCCATGCAGCCTCTCCATACTGTGACCAAGTTCCTGAGCCCTGTACACCTTCTCGCTGTAAATTTGTTTTCTATTCCTGATGGGTGTGTTAGTTTGTGCTGTATTCTTCTGATAATCTTGATAACTGATAAACCGTGTTTAAACAGTTTAAGTTTCAACAGAGTGTCAGTGAAATCTGGCCTTTCAGTTGCACTTCATTAAATACTGAATGGGTTTTAAGAGTTTCATCAGAATAGACTGTCTTATTGATCCCAAAAGAGGTACAGTTACAGACATATTTAATAGTCTGTTCTCATCACTGTTACAGAAAATGATAGGGTTTTGGTAAAAGAGGTTATTGGCCAAGACTGCTTTGTAGCATTTACTGCTGTAAATTATTTCCATTGCTGGCATCTTTTGCCTAACAAGACTCTCCTTTCCACAGAATTTCCTTCTTATCTGTACAGTTTTCAATTACTTAATTTCAGAAAGCCTTAGCTAATCGCATCCAAAACCTTCCCTGAAAATTCACACACAGGAAGAAATTTCCTAAATATCAGTGTGTATTTTCATATTGCAGGTAGGGCATATTGGAGTGTTTGAGAGGTATTAGAGCAGTGAAAATCAGCATTATGCTGTTTCAAGTCAAGAGCCGTCTGTTCATTGAAATGATGCCAATTTAAACATGCTGTAAGATCAATCCCCATGTTGTTTGAATACAAACTGTACGGTAATGCTACCAGAGTAGTTCAGGTGGCAGGGTAAAATCAACATCGTTTCCCAGCCATTTCTTTTTAACTCCTTTTCATTTCTGTTAAATTGTCCTTCACTGAAAGCTTTATGCATAGTGCTGTTTTGTTACTGCATTTTCTATAATCCAATCTTAAGAAATTCATTTTTGACACCTAGCCTCTAACTGATATCATGTCAAAGATATTAATTCCTAACAAAATGTAGAAAATAAATCTTAGAGTATTAGCAAAATTCACTTGTTAAAATAGCTGACGTAAGACCAGAGTTTTGAAAACACTAGCTCATATGTAAGCCTGTAACTGGAAACTAAGGAAAGCACTTCCTTTAGACTCCAGGAAATCCGTGTCCTACGGAAGTTTAACTAGTTGAAGTCTGACTTTCTTCCTGAAGCATTTGAATAGCTAATTGATTGCTATTACAGGTTTGGGTGTCGTTGAGTTGAACTTGCTCAGACCTACTCTATAAACAGTACATCCCAGTTAGCATTAAATTACTTGTTCTTTGCAGAGCTACAAGTTAATAAGAACCCACTCAAGAGTGAAGGCAAACTGAAAGAATGCAGAAGCCCAAGCACGGACTCCATTATGTAAAACCCAAGTTTTCCATTTCCAAGCTACCGTATCCTCAGGGAAAGGAGCTTCCACAATATGCATGAGAAGTAGAAGCATAGAATCATAGAATGATAGAATCATTAAGGTTGGAAAAGACCTCTAAGAT